TAAATTATTTTATTATTATTATTATTATTATTATTATTATTATTATTATTATTATTTATTTCTAAAAATAGAACATTCTCAAGCCCAATTGACCCCAAAATCTGTGGGGAAGGGTGGAAAAGGGAAATAAAACTATAATACAATAATTATTCGGGAGGCACATGTTTATTAAGTACGTAAAAAAAATCGAGGCACACTACCAGGGGAACAATTACAAGATGTAGCCTTTGTAGTTAATTTTTTTTACTTACAAAAAGTGTAACATCGTCCTAAAATTAAAACTCTACAGGGGAGAAACCGGTGCCGTGTCAGAAATTTCCATTTAGGAAATCCCAAAACACCAAACCACAGAAAACTCTCACCTAAAAGGTGATTAGTTTTTCGCATTAGCCTTTAACCTTTTAGAAATTTGGTTTGGTTGGTTTGTTTGTTTGATTTGTTTGTTGATTTGTTGTATTTGGTTGGTAGCCTGCCTCGATCTTCTCCGCATAAGCAATAAGCACCGCCAAAAAGGTCTGAGGATGCGATATTTGTTGGCATTAGTGGTATATAGTTGGAGCAGGCGATGGGGTACTATTCTTGTCCATAAGACCTTGCGGGTCCCAAGAAGAAGATTCCCCCATTTCTGTATGCCGCAGCACACAGGCAAACCGCCAAGGTGTGTCCCGGGCCGACACGGCTTGTCCTGGACCCTCTCTTCCCTACAAAGTCCAGATCTCAGTCGGATGGGGCCTGAAGGGGTTCTGGAAGGAACGAAAAACTTAGTAAATATTAATAAGGAGGAATATGTTACAAATTCAAAGGCTGGTAGAACATTAAAAAATAATATAATTTTCTCCTATGGACCACGGGTCTAAACTATGTGTAATCGCTATATTATGTTGTTGCGAACAAAAAACCTTAATGGCATTTCTCTTTATCGATGGTAATTTGTTATTAACAAAAAACTTGCAAAATTGCAAAAACTTTAAAAATCGATATGAAAACACATTGGTTATGCATTTTGGGAAAAAAAGCACTTTTTAATTATTGTGATTTTTTCGAAAATAGCTTTGTTTTCGAGCTACGACCGATTTAAAGTCGAAAAATAACCAAAAGTCGCCATTTTCGATTTATGTTTTCTCGGATTGTACTGGAGCTTTTTTAATTTTTCTTTTTCGAGATTACTCATCGAAAGTTACACACCTAAAGTATGGAATAAAATCAGTAAAAACGAAACAATTTTTTTTTAGGAAAAATCCTGGAACAGGTCGATTTTTAATTTAAAAAATACATATTTTGTCATCGACTTTTTTTTTGATTCTGAAAGATCGTTTCATTGTCGGTCGATCTGACAGTATTAAAATGTTGTCATCTCACATAGGAAAGTTTTCGAGTAAATGACGATTGAATGTTAGAAAACGTAAATTTTATTCATTAAAAAATAGCAATTCCTATGTCAAGCAAATACAATTCATTAAGTTTTCTACCTAAATTAATTGTTCGAATTGCCACCCACCGACTTCTTGACAATACGCAAATCTGTGTAGAAATTCTTCTTGCACATTATGAATTATTTCTGGGGTAACTCTGTGTATTTTATCTATAATACAATTTCGGAGTTCTTCTAAATTATGTGGTCTACTAACATACACTTTGGACTTTAAGTAGCTCCATAAGAAATAGTCCAGGGGTGTAAGATCTGGGGATCTCGCGGGCCATTCTATCGGTCCTCGTCTGCCGATCCACCTCCTAGGAAAACAATTGTCCAGAAAATCTCGAACAGGGCGCGCATAGTGCGAAGGTGCACCGTCTTGCTGAAACCATATGGTGTCATCAGGAATATAAGGGTCATTATCGTTAGGAAAAATTACTGCAAGCGCTGGAACAAGGTCATTTTGTAAAAACACTTTGTCCTGTAAGGGTTCCTTCAAAGAAGAAAGGCCCTACTATTCTGTTGTCAACTATTCCAGCCCACACATTTAATTTCTGTGGGTGTTGGGTGTGTTGAGGATTTTCCCGACTCCAATACCTGCAAGTTTGACGGTTCACTGTGAGACAAAACGTGGCATCGTCTGAAAAAAGTATTTGCCTGTGTAAATCTCTATTTACTTGACAGAAATCCATGATAATTTCACAAAAGTGTAAGCGGCGGCTTCATTGAGTTCCTGCACAAATTGAATTTTGTAGGGATGATATTTTTCCTTCCTCGGGATACGTAGCACTGTGGTCTGACTAATTTCATTGTTTAATACAACCAATCTTGAAGTATTATGAGGATTATCTACCATACTTATCAAAATGTTCTGTTTGTGATCTTCACTAACGCTTGGACGTCCAGGTTTTGGAACATCTACAACAATGCCAGTTTCTCTAAATTTAGATTCTATCTTACTGACTGTTGATTGGCTGATACGGCGATCTGGATGTTTTTCATTAAATGAATCGCAAACTTCCTGCTGCGTTCTAGTCTTATCCCCGCATCCGATAAGAATTAAAATTTCAATTCTTTGTGTGACGGTTAAATGTGCCATGATACTTTAAATTCAACAATAATTTTTATATTGCTTACAATACATATAAAGTTGACTGACAGTGACACTTTGTAAAGATTTACACCTACGTGATTCATAAAAAACTTCAGGCATTTCGAATTTCTTTCAGAATCAAGAAAAAAAATAGGGGGTAGCTATTTAAAAAAAATGTCGATGACTTCATTAGTCGAAAACAAATGACGGTTGAAAATCGCCTTTTATGTTAAAATATATATTTTTTAAATTAAAAATCGACCTGTTCGAAGATTTTTCCCAAAAAAAATTTATTTCGTTTTTATTGAATTTATTCCATACTTTAGGCGCGTACTGTATTTTTATGTTATATATTTTGAGAAATGATGAATCCCGGCGACTTTTTTCCCCCATAAAATAGCGACATAATTTTTGAGGTTAGGTTTCCTGCGTTGTAAGTAGAGATCACTCAGTAATATTTAATTTATAGTTTGTTTTTAATTTTCCGTCGGCACATATTTTCCTAAAAATTAATTAAAGAAATCTTTGTGCCAAAACGATCAGGGTCATTTTCATTCAATTATTTTGGCTTAACCAAAAATTGCACGTTGAAAATAGCAGATAAGTATAAAATATCACTTTATCACGAACTTCAATTGAAGATTGGTGCAAGAACGGTATGAGATATAGGTTTAAAAATGTATGCTCTTCTGTTGGGATCAATATAACAATTTTTAATTTTCATTTGTACTGCAAAATAGGTTAGGTAATTTTAATTGGTTTTAACGGTTGCCACAAAAAATTTAATTTTATGAAACTCCAAAAAGTTATGGTCAATTTTCTGGTCAATAAGAACGATTTAAGTCCTTCAGGGTTTAAAAATTTAAATGTTTTTCTAATCTTTTGAAAATTCTACTCTGGATATTTTACAGAAAACTACGCACGACACCTGTACTTATACTTTATGTAGCTTCCAGAACATCTGTAATGAAAAATAAACACTGTTTAAGGAACACATTTTCCCAAAAAATTTAAAAAAATATGTATTTAGTAAACATTATTTCATTGAAGCAAGAAATAATTTTTATTTATTAAATACGGGTACATATTTTTTACTTGAAATTTGCGAAGAAGTGGTTTTTAAACAATGTTTATTGCTCAATACAGATGTTCTGAAAGTTACATAAAGTATACAGTATTAAGCGTAGTCTGTGAAATGTCCACAAAAAATTTTTCTCGAAAACTAAGTTGGGCCACACAAAAATAACTTTAGATTGGTGTTCATCACCCTCGAAAATAAGCGAGTAGGAAAATTTTTGTGACGATTGGGACATTTTATGCTATACTTAGTAAATTACTACCAAAATACTGGCACTTACCAATTTAGACAAAGGGTACGTTGTACAAAAACGAGTCTATTGTTGGTCCATCCTCGATGTCACAAATGGAAACATACAATCTGAAACAATGAAATATTAAAACATCAACGAACTTGTATTTTTTGTGGATTAAATGTACCTTGTATTTGTCCGAATTATTTTTCTCCATCCTCGAGACGATCCGTCCTATTGGAAGCAGAAAAACAACTGACCCGACGGATCGATCTAACTTTTCATTTGCTAAGAAGAGCGAGACAATTGCGTAAGCGTCACTAAGGCAGGACCGTATTTGAAAATTTATTCCGCAGAAATTCAGGTAACAAAGCAGATTTAGTTTTATACCAGGTATTTACTGTTTGTAATCTCCACAGATGGGAGTTTGCCACTTTTTCGGATGTTGTCAAGTCGACGAAATAATTAATAACCTTTTGGTATGAAATCGTTATAAGTGGAAATTTAAAAAAATACAAAAGTGAAACAAATTTAGTATACATACAGTTGTGACATGTTATCTTATGATTTTAATTGTAATTTAAGTTACACTAACTAAATACCTAGCTATACAGGATGTTATCAAATAAATTACTTTTAAAATGACGTAACTATTTCAAGTTTGAATCAAAAACGCATAGACATTATAGCAAATCGCTTCAGACCGCATGTCAAATGCTGAAAATTAGCAACCTAAAGAGGATGCAGTGTCTTGTTCGCGGGCATCCAGAAATAAAATTTAGCTTGGTACCTCTTCTACTCGGTAATAGGAGGCAGTTCTTGCGGTTCTTTGTTGCCAAATAATAACTGCCAAATAAATTTAATGAATTTAATTATGTAATTGAAGAGTTATATTGAACTTATCTTTTGTTTGGAAATGACATTTGTGTTAAATGCTAAATAAAATAAATCAAGTTTGAATTAAAAATACGAATTTACCTTGAAACGCGATAATTCAATAACTTGCAATTAATGTTTTTAGATTTGTGCGACAACTTTCAATTTGGTACGATAATCACACTTATGTTTAAAAAAAATTGCACTATACATTATACAGATTGTGTAAAAATGTAGCGAATGACATATTTTTTACTAAATATTCTGTATTTCATCATACAAAAAATTGCAGTCAACGTACCAGTAAATATATATGCCTAACCAATAACTATACCGTGCATCCTTAGATGGGTACTGCTCTCTTATTGTTGATTTCTCTTAGGGTGCCATGGTAGTGCTCATATTTGTGACATAAGGTGTTCAAAAAAATTATACAATGTAAAATTTTCTTAAGAACAGTAGGTACCTTAATTTTTCATTTTATTTTCATTTCGACATACATACTTCGGACCTTTTTCATTCAACCCAGAGCGGACAAACAGAACCAGAGGTGTGGGAAAATTTTATCAACTATTTTTTCGATTCAACGCACCGTTTCCGAGTTATACGGCCTTTCTTACTGTATGACGCCACAGGCCTCTTGCTTCCAAAATTTATTTTCGACATACGGATTTCGGACCTTTTGCATTCAACACAGAACGGACAATCAGGACTAGGACTGTAGGGAGATTTTTTCAATTATTTTTTTGATTCAATGCATTGATTCCGTCTGATGTCACACACCATTGGTCGATCACCAAACAGAACCATAGGAGATTTTTTGATATTTCAAGTAATTTCTGAGTTACATGCAAAAACTGTTTTTTTTTCTTTCATATATTGTGACGCCTCGCCCTGCCTCTCTGTTTTTTTCTCATACTTTGTGACGTCATAGCTCGATGACGAAGGCTAAAAAGGCCACGCGCTCTACCCCACGCTTCCCTACTAAGGATGCAGAGGAAGCCACTGAGGCTCCTGAAGACTCATTACGAATTTTGTTTACTTGGAAATATATTTTCCGCAATATTTCAATACCAAAAATTGAAAATTAAAGAAATTATGATTAGATAACCCATCTGTGACACCGCTACAGAATATCCGACCATCTAAATTGACTACAGAGGTATGTTTTACTAAAAAATTATAAACAATAATGTAATTCAGTATATACATACTTGTATATGTATAAAAACGTTTAAAATAAATATTAATAATCATAAAGTAATAAGTTTTAAACAGTGCACAACACACGTATAAAAAAACTGGCGAAAACTAGAAGACTGGATTTATGTTTGATTTAATCTTCATATTATTGATTGCATGTAACCTACCATTTGATATTGTAAAAATAAAACATCTCATTCCTCCTCGAATAAATACAACCCCGAAGGGAATTATGTCGAACGGTCGTTCTCTTCAGTTAAGATACTTGATGCGATCTATAACGAATTCACGTGTTTCACAATGATACAATGACATAAATCTTATAATCATTGTTCACTTTATTTTATGTTGATGATGAATTATGATGAATTATGACAGCTCTAGTTATCAGTAATTTTAACCATTGTAAAAATTAATGAACCGTGATATTTATTAATTCTACATAATACAGGGCGAGTCAACGCTGTGGCAAAGTTGATTTATCGCTAGAATATAATTAAGGCAAAATATTTCAAAATAGGTTCGAATGGAGAGGGGCAGAAAATACACATTTTAAAAATAATTTGACTTATACAGGGTGATTCGTTTTCAAAGGGCTGACCAAAGTTGTATTTTTTTAAATGGAACACCCTGTATTTGAGTGGATATTTATATTTTACATGGAATTATGCTACTTTTTCGTAATAGGTACTATATGCCAAAAACCTGCTGTTTCCGAGATATTAATATTTTAATATAAAAAAATGACATTTTCGGCGTTACACTTGATCGTGACTCATATACTCGTTTTTTTTGTAATACAATCTAAGCAATCGTCACACTTGTTGTACTAGGTTCATCGTAAATTTTGAAGTGGTCACTGTTTATAAATGTCATACAGGGTGTTCACAAAATGTTGTCTTTTTCAAAGGCAAAAATATTGTTTTTTCAAATATAACACCCTGTATCTTTTAACGGGAAGTGAAAGACCTTCTCAAAATCTACAATTTTCATAATAGATGTTATATATCAGTTCCTCATATTTTACGATATTTTTAGCAATTTCTTTATTTTTTGTGAAAATATTCTAGAGAGGCATTAATATGGCAGTAGAACAAAAGAAATGTTTGAAACTGTCAATAGTTTTTCCTTTCATTTGCTTTGACTGTTGAAGTAGCGTTTTTCTGTGATTCAAACAGTTGTTCTTAATTAATTAATATTGTTTGTATAGTTTTATTGTTACGTATTCGCCGAGACAGATTTGTTATATAAAAATGCTGTGTAAAGTAATAAATAATGGTACTTCTCTCTCAAGGTGGCCATATCCCTGGCCGAGAAATGGTGAAATTTCTGGCATTTTTAGGTACTGAAATCTTGAAAAGTAAAACGTGTAGAAAAAAGTAAGCACAAAAATAAAATCCTTGATGTTTTGTTTATTCATTGTTACCATTTAAATTTACTCAAATAAAATAATAACTAAAAAAAGCATTTGTAAAACATGCGTTTTCTGTTATCCTAACCCCACATTTTAAGAATTATTTTCACTTACTTATAAATAAAAGTAAACAATTTTATATGTAGGACTAAGCAAGTAAATGTTATAAGAATATTTACATGTGGAGTTATGTCTAAAAAAGTTAGTATTTTCGTAGATTTCAGTACCCAAAACCATGATGGTTTGATCGTTTTTTGCAGCTGTATTCGTTTTACTGCGGCGTCTTTGAAAATACTCAAGTGGCATGACATAACATTCCTATTATTTGATAAGCTTTAGATTATTCAGTTATTAAATGTTTGAAATTATTTGTCTTTGCGGAAAACACTATTTAAAGAATATGGGGCCCTTAAGTATTTTCGTGTTTTTTTAATTTATGATACCAGCACCAAGTATATGTAATCTAAGATGTTTGTATGACAGTCTCATTTTTTCGAGAAGCAGAACTTTTTATAAAGAGTGACATTTTTCGATAAAGAAAAATTTTCCTTTTACATTTTTCAAATAAACCATTTCGATGAGAAATTCTCTACAAAATTTTTCCAACGAACTATAAAACTGCAAAAGTGCATTTTCACCCCTATCTTCAATTTCAACCCTCTAATTTAATAGCACCCCACGGTTTTTTCATTTTTAATGACCCTTCGAACAAGTTATGTGATGAAAATCCTTGAACGTCTTATTTCCTTCCTTTTTTTGTAAAATATAAGAATTAAAACGTATAAGGGTAAACGCGACAAAAATCGAAAAATTGGCTAAGTTTGAACGGCCATATCAGTCAATTTTCATCCAAAAATACTTTACAACCTCTTGTTTTGAAGGAAATTTTATCTAGCTTTTTTTCTATGAAACAATGCCTATACTTATTTTTACTCAAAAAAAAACTATAGGCAAAAAAGTAAAAAAAAGTCAGAAAATCGAATTTTTTTCTTTTTTTCAAATTGTTTATTAATGATTTTTTTGCATAAAATTTTCCTTTTAATTTATTTAAATAAGCTATTTCGATGTGAAATTCAATTCTCTAAATTATTTTTCTTATGAACTATAGCGAAATTTTGCTTCGTTTTCGAGCTACAATTAAAAAACTGAAAGGGGTTCATTATCTAAAATGACCATTTGAACGATTCATAATATCTTGAACGTCATAGTTCGTTTTAAAATCCTCTATTCTATAGCCTATTAGCCCTATTACGTCGACTGTATTTATGGTAGAAAAATGAAAAATAAAGAAATTGCGAAAAATGTCGCAAAATATGAGGAAAGTTGTAGATTTTGGGAAGGTCCTCCATATCCCTTTAAAAAATACAGGGCGTTCCATTTGAAAAAAAAATAAAAATTGCCTTTGACATTTGGCACGATTTTTTGAACACCCTGTATGACATTTATAAACAGTGACCACTTCAGAATTTACGGTGAACCTAGTACAATATGTGTGACGATTGCTTGGATTGTATCTCAAAAAGCGAATAAATACCTATATCAGTCACGATCAAGTGTAATGCCAAAAATGTCATTTTTTATATTAATAATAAAATTTAATATCTCGGAAATGGCTGCTTTTTGGCACATAGTACCTATTAAGATAAAGTTGCATAATTCCATGTAAAATGTAAATATCCTCTCAAATACAGGGTGTAGCCCTCCGAAAATGAATCAAATTATTTTTAAAATGTGCATTTGTTGCATATTTTACCTCGATTATATTCTAGCGTATTTTTTTTATGAAGTATCTTAAGATGTTTATACGAAAACAATTCTGCGGAAAAAATTGACGTTTCTAATTAACTCGAAATTGTTAAGGAAAATAAAACTATAACGAATTATAGAAACATATTTATTAAACTTGTAAAAATATAAAAAGTCTAGAACAATTACAAGGAATGCGTTTTAGTGTTCAAACCCTAAATGACTTGATGTCAACATCATGTTTATCAAATTACCATCAAAATAATACCATGTTGATACGAAAACTTTGCAAAGGCAAAAGCAGTGCCGTGACGGACATTTCCGAAAGAAGGGAAATCCCAAAACACAAAACCACAGAATACACTACGCAAATAATTTGGGAAATATTTATAAATACGTGTCATATTCTGTAACGTGGTTAAATGTTGGGGAAGACGTATGGAGAATACTTGTCGAGTAGACCATTCGGTCTGACAAGAGAAGATTACGCCATTTCTGTATGCAAAAGCACACCGACTAATACTGCCCTGTTAATTCCAGACGTCATCACTGAAAGAGTAAGTAAACTATTGCTAAATTGCTGAATACAGCTTTTATAAAAATAAGGCAGGTATGAACTGTAATGAAATAAACTTATAGAATAATCTGTCTAAGGAATGTGATCGTATCTATCTGAACATTTGAAAAAAATGCAGGTGCATTTGGATTTAACACTGCTGCAAAGTCAAGGCGTGTCCTGGGCCGACACAGCTGATCCTGGACTTTTTCTCCTCTCCAAAGTCTAAACCCCACCACGAATACATCCTGAAGGCAGTCTGGAAAGAAAAACAGACGTTTGGTTGGTAGATACATGTAAATCTTTATGTTAGGATATTATCTGGTTAGTAAGTTTAGCCTTTAAGAGACCGTCGCGCTCTTGAAATAGACTTTATGCTAGGCCCATAACACTTATTTGGGAAACGAATAAACATAGCGACCGAAATAAAAAAAGTAATCGAAAGACAAAATGGTTTCCTAAGGTTGTTGTGTAATAGTTTTTTTTCAAAACAGCGGCTTAGATTTGGGGGAAAGTTTCCTCTTTTTCAATACGTTTCTCTTAATTATGGTATGGAAATTATTAATTAAAAAATAATCGAAATTAGTGTAGGACTTCCGCAAGGACCTCTATTAGACCCAGTATTATAAGTATATAAATGACATTTATACGTTTATCTGCTCAATTTACTATCTACGCTGATAATATATATGTCAAATAAAAGTGACTGTAATGAATAACTTTGGGTTCAAATGAACTGTTTAAATGTCAATGCCTACAAAGAAAAAAATTTATTTTAAATACAAATTCGATATGATTGCAGTTTAAAAATTTGAATATCCATAAGTCATTAAAAATTATCTGTTTCAAAAATAAGCTTAATTTGATATTAAATAAGATGACGGCTTCTTATTATTAATTTTTTTTGCATGGCCTCCCTAAGATATTTTTTTAAGTAATTTAAGTAACTGTATAAAAATGCACTTGATCAAATAAATCAATTTTGTTGTTAACCGGTTTGAAAAAAAAAAAGTGTAAAGAAACAAACAGTGAAGATAATACAATGGCGCATATGACGACCTATTTTATTTGTAATATTATACAGGGTGATCTATTTTTTTGCCAAATAATGATCAATAATACCCACACCTCCGCCACTGGCATGTTTCATACCTACTGTCATACTAAATATTCACAGAGAATGTGGTTGAATTATCTCAAGCGGTTTAGAAATTAAAAATTAAAAACTGATTTTATTTTTCATTTTTGACGCTGTATCTGGACAATGGCTGTCCTAAGACCCCACATTTATGTAACAAAAAACACTTATTTTTGGCCACAGAATACGTCCCTAGAATTTTTGCCTCTACTTAAGAAACACGCCCTGTATATAAATGTTTTACTAAACAAACTTTTTAATATTGAAAAAATATATTTAGTTAATAATAATTTAGATATTTAATAATGACAATATTAGTAGAAATAGTTTTAAAAATATGGTATTTTTAGTAATCAGTCAACCCGATTTACTTCTATAATAAAATTTGGTTTAATAGAGTATTATCTGTAAAAAATAAAATACAAAGAAAAAAATAATTCGAAAAAAAATATAAAAAAAAGATCCCACTCGAGAACCTGTCCCATAAATTTGTATATTGAATGACGATTTTTTCGAAGAAAAAAAAAACAATCTTTTTCAAAAAGCACTTTTTTGGTTTAAAATTCAAAAAATCAAAAAACTAAAAATGTACTATTTTTATATTTTTTTTAAAACTACATCTCAAATATGATATCTTTAGTTTTTGCAAAGTTACAGGTATTTTAAAATTTTGTATCTAAAATATTCAAATGCTCGTAACTTTTTGAGGGTTGAAATAAAAATTAAAAAAAAAATCATGAAAGCTGCTCTAAATGGATACTAAATTATAGGCACAGAAATTAAGGGATATTAAACAAATTCCAAAATTTTGGGTGATTTATCAAATCCAAGTTACACCTCTTTGAAAATCACCCAAATTTTGGGATTCTTTTAATATCCCTTAATTTATGTACCTAGTGTAATACCAAAAAATCAGGAAAATAAAAAATGTTCAGACCACCAGCGTAGTGATTTGGCACGGAATGTCCTATATGTAATAAAGGTTGTTATTAATATTATTGTTAATTAACAAAAACAACAAATTATATGATGGGGGGTTTTTCCTCAATAAATTTAAATATAAACATAAATTAAATTTTAGATAAATTCGTAATGGAAATATAAGAGGAAGTAATGCATTTTGAAAGGTGAACCCATCTGGATGAGCTGATCTCAACAAAACATATTATAAAAAAATATTCAAGGACTATTAAACGTATTAATCTAATTGTAAATGGTTAAATGATATCACAGATAATTCTTTTATATCTTTTTATCTTCTGATCACTGGAAACAAGAGTTTACAAATGAATTCACTGTTTACATTCATTATACATAATATACCTTATTTTTAAATTCATTAAGCCAAAAAATCCAGTTGTGTCACAACGAGAATGTAGATAAAAATTTTCTTGTCGTAAAGGATACAATCACTTACCTGACTACACGAGTTCGTCGCATGATTCACAAAATGAAGCTGTTACTGGATACATCTGAAACGGGATAATTCGACATTTAATATCTATACATGTATTTGGTTTATACGTGCCTTGTATTTGTCCGAATTATTTCAATCCGACCTCCCGCGACATGTTGCCCAGTTGATCGTAGAAAAATAACTAATAACTAATTCCAAATTCGACGCAGTGTAGATGAGTTGGATGTGAGAATTATCAGTAGGTCAGGGCAGGATTAGAGAACTTGGCCCTTCTAAATAATATTTATCAGGTGCTCAATCTTAGTCGCCAAATCAATATTATTGTTTACTCTGCTAAAATGTCTTAAATTGAAAAATAACGTCTAACCTAATAACTCGACGTTGCCACTCATATAATAGATATATTGTTTTAAATATGTTGAAAAATACTAAAAAAATCACGATTTTGAAAAAGAAACAACTCGTATCGAAATGTATAAGTCAAAATTGTATAAAGAATAGACACAAATTGTAATGGATATCCAAATAATTAAAAATGTATCTAGCGCCTGTCCCTGTAAGCTTATTGTTTTTTGTATGTAAATATCAACGAAATTAAAAGTTATTAAAGCCTTTGTCCTAACAATTTTATTTTTATCTCAAAAAAGATGGACTTATGTCAATATATTTTAGTTTAGTACAAATACAGGAAAAATGACATTAAAAAAAAAGAATTGTGATTATAAATATTCATAAAAATGCTTTTATATTATATTCTATTAAACTGAGCATATAACAACGATTTCAAAATTTAGAATAATTTGAGTGAAAGATATATCATTTTTTTATTAAAATAACAAAAACGTCAACCATATGAATTTGCAGAAATGTTTTGATTTGTAACCGAGTAACAATTTTGTAAAAGTTTTTGTTATATGGACATTTTGCACATATTAACGTGAATATTTTTTCTTAATTTTCTTTATTTAATAAAAAAAATTTTTTCTAAATAATTTTTTTTTTAATTTGTTTAAACATAAATTATTTAATTAATTGTAATAATTTTAACTAAATATATTCATATTCAGAGTATTGAATACGTAAACAAATTGGTTGAGTATTCTCTTCTATGTGAAAAAATGTTCAAGTATCTAGATGCTTTATTTGAGGCTGTGCAACATTTTGAAAATTAGAAAATTTTCTTTCAATATTATTTTCAAAAAATTATTTTGCGAAAACAATCGAACCGATTTTAATGAAATTTGGTGTATTGTTTTATATTACTCTAAAGTTTTTTTACCAAAATCAGAATGCCCTCGGAGCAATTAAAATATTTTTAAAAAATTGTCCAAAGAACTTGATTATTTTGCCTTTTTTTTATTGCTATTTTGCAACATCGGTAAGAACTACTATAACTTTATATTAACTTTTAATTTGCCGATCGGGAGTAAGGAGGGACAACACAATTTAGCGGGTTGATGTGTTTGTGTCGATTTGTTATTTTCCCGGACGTTGTTTCTCTTTGAAGTGCCTTCAAGCCTAATTAATTAATATTCACAGTGAAATTCTACAATTTTCAATAATAACGGAATAACAGGTAAGTTAAAATTGCATTTTATATGTAATGAAAACGCACAGGTGCCAAAATATACGATAATTAGACATTTGAGGGAGATATGGAAAATTTTGTACAAGTTTGATTTTGGTGTACACATTTAAGTTTCACCCAAAAATCAGAACTATAGTAGGATCGTATTCGATGCAAAGTAGAGCAAAAAATTGTCGGTTTTTTATTAAAGGAAAATTGTGTCATCATTTTTAGGAGGCGTAAAGAAGGCTTCAAATTTAAAATGAATTTGAATGAAAAATCTGAAATACCGCTGCATACGCACTGTGTTCTGGCAGTAGCTGTAGTCGCCCAGGTGCATGGAGTGTACGAAGTGGTCGGTTATACGTCAAAAACAGAGGTAAAATGTAGTACATATGTAGAATTTAAAAAACAAATTGATTTATAATAAATTACATTTAAAATAAATAGTTTATGAGCATAAAGGAATTTTTGTATGAACAAGGCTGCCAGACGTGAACTGATCCTTTCGTCCCTTCATAATGGGTAAAGAAATTATTCAATTTCTAAACCCCTTAAAAGCGTATTGCATTGGATCTCTTGACAGGACATGATTTATTACTTTGCGATATGATCCTACTATAGAAAAAAAATATTAGTAGCTGGTATGTCAAAGACGGTTTAATTAGGACTTTTGTGTCTGAGGTCGAACGTGGCGACATTTGAAACGTAGGGTAGTCACTGAGCGCCTAAATTCCAAAATGCCAGAGTTCGCACTGTGTCAGGCCAAAACACACCACAGAACCCCAGGGTTTCCCCTGGAAGTTAAGTTTTTTGGTGGTCAGGTAAGTAAATGTATCATTTCGCATGTTTATAGTTTGTTGAGTTGCCATCATTGAGTTTTAGAGGAACTTGTTTATTATTTGTTTAACTAAGGTAGCTATTATTTTTTAGCGGATGTCGATATTGTTTTGGGGGTACTACTCACACCAAGCAGTCGTCGCCGACCGCGAGGAGGGAGGCTCCCCCCAATTCCGCTTTTCGGCTACCCCGACCCGGCACGGAGACGAGTGCTCTGACAGGTCAAAATCCGGAGCTCCCAGTGGCCGGAACCTGGAACAAAGACGACACCAATTTTGATAGTGATATGCACCAGATACGAACTGGATCTTTTGGCTTCTGTATTTACATAAAACTACGCTACACACCTTGATACATACCTCTTTAAATATACAGGTGTTCCAATATTCCATGTACTGATCTGTTTTCAAGGGTTACTGCGAATCTGTCATAGATACAGCAAATCTGATAAACGAGTCCGGAGCTCATTTTTCGAGAAAATGTTCAACAAAATATCACAAAGAAAAATAGAATCTAAAAATAATAAAAAGCATTATTAAAGACACATACCTATCAAGCTCCTTGTTAGTATATGATGAACTTCTTTCCAAACATATTTTCCTTTGGGAGATTTTTTTTAATGGTGCGAGCTCTGGGGAGTTTCAAACAGCACATCCGATCTCGAAAACAAAAAGAGGCCTGTGAGATATTTTAAAAAGATGTTGGCTATTCACATAAATAACTTTAATTCTGAATTCTTTATAATAGTCCAACCAAATTACACTTGGATTTGCATTTTTGAGTATGTTTTTGAACTGTGATTACAGATTTTTTTATTCCACCAAAAAGTATATGTCAAAACGAAAAAAATTATCAACGGCAGAATTCTGTACGATGATTATTCTAAGTAGAATTTTTCTTTGAAAAAAAAAGTGTTTCAGACCAGAAAAAATGAATATCCCGGAAATTTCTTGATTTTTTTATCTAAAAAAATTTGCGGTTATTTAAGACACAGAAAGGTATAATTTCACCAAGTTTCGTCAAAATTAAATAATTTTTGCGAAAATGAGAAATAAAAAACGGAAAATCAGAAAAAATCCTGTTTTTCGCATTTTTCTCGGAAATTTTGAGGTTATGTTAAAAAGTTTCCTCTACAAAAGTTGTAGATTTTTGCATGATCTACAACTTTTGTAGTGGATACTTTTTTGTTTGACGTCAACTTTCGCCAGAAATCCCAATGATACAATTTTTCACAACTTTTCAAACCTTCCGCCACCCGTATTTATTTTGTTTCTTTTATTATATGCCCCTTTACCATTTCCACTTATAAAAGTCCAGGTAACAATTTTATTTTTTTCCCTCCAAATCGGTCCATGTGAACAACCATTTTAAATTCGATATTTGTAACAACTTTCGAAAAACTATCGATTTCCGAGATATTTGAACTTCTAAAAAAAATCATTTTGGGTGGGTCATAGGTACCTTGGAACGTTTATCGCATTAGGTTGTGTTCATAAAGATGATACAAAAATATCGACTATCTTTGATTACGCAGGCCGACAAGATTTTAACCCAACAACACGAATATACCTCCCCAAAAGATTTTGATGCGCTGAAGTCGAATCCGAAGTCCAAATACCTCAATTGGCTCTGGTTTTCGAGATATCCTAACCTAAAAGTGCCAAAATCGCGATTTTTTGACATATTTGAGGTTATGTTACATGAAAAACTTGACAAATTGCCAATATTTGGCAAAATAACGTGTTTTTTCACATTTTTTACTGCCCATGGAAAATTAGTTATTTTATATTGTATGCAATTAAATTACCTACAATTTAAGGTAACATAAGACATATTTCACCAATTTGTTAACTGTAAAATAAAGGTCCAAAGCGGAAAAATCAATTTTCGAAAAGGACACCAATCTGGATGTTTTTATCATCAATGTTACTTATCACCTTATCAGTTTTATGAACTGGGACAGCTTTGGATACTCTCACTTTTCAGGAAAAGTTATATTCTTTATAGCAATATGGCTTAGTAGTTTATGAGTTTGAATTTATTTTATGAAATAGCAAAGCAATGTTATTAAAGTAATGATTTGTACTATCTAAAAGCATTTCAACGAACAAACAAAATTATTTTTCACAGATATTTAGTACTAAATTGTATGTATCAACAGTTCACGTTAATCAATTTCAAAAACAATTTTATTTAATTATATTTAACCCATAAAACCACTTCACTGAGGTTTTTGGATTTTTAGTTGGTAGTGCCGTTCGTGTAATGTTAGTTGCCTATGTTCGACGATCACGTGGCTTATAACCGTTTATAAAGATTTTGTATTAAAATACAGCATTTTAACTTATTAATTATTATTTGCCAGTAGATAGTTTATTCATAATTTAATTCGTTTATATGAACTTTTCACAAATTTTAATTTTCTATATATTGAGCTAAAAATTTGCAAACGGAACGCTCTGAAATATTAGTGTAGCGGGAGCTATTAAAAAAAAGTATCGAAATTCACCACGTTTATTGAATTTTGTAATTAAACAGTAATTTTTGAAAAAAAAAGAAGCCGAAAAATATGTACAACTCATTATAAGATTTCTACTTTATGTAGCCGAACTGAAGAAATGTTACGGATGGACAGCATCTCCGAAGGGTCTGTGGTTCGACCTCCAAGTCCTTAATGATCCATATTCTAAGAGTTGCGGATGGACAGCATCTCCAAGGGGCCTGTTGTTCGGCGTCCAAGTCCTTGATGATCCAAATTCTGAGAGGAGATGCAGGTGGACAGCATCTCCGAGGGGCCTGTTGTTCGGCGTCCAAGTTCTTGATGATCCAAATTCTGAGAGGAGTTGCAGGTGGACAGCATCTCCGAGGGGCCTGTTGTTTGGCCTCCAAGTCCTTGATTATCCAAATTCTGAGAGGAGTTGCGTTTGGACAGCATCTCCGAGGGGCCTGTTGTTCGGCGTCCAAGTCCTTGATGATCCAAATTCTGAAAGGAGTTACAGGTGAACAGCATCTCCGAGGGGTGTGTGGTTCGGCCTCCAAGTTCCTAATTATCCAAATTCCGAAGGAGTTGCGGGTGGACAGCACCTTCGATCTGCGGTTTCGCCTCCAGGTCCCTGACGATCCAAATTCCAAAAAGACAGAGTCCACTCCGTGGTAGGCTGAAACACACCACAGAACCCCGAGTTTCCCCGGGGCTACCATCACCATCTACTAATCTCCCATTTCATTTCGCGAGGCTTGAGTTTCTTATTAATTCTTGTTTTATTCTTAAAACGATTTGCAAAAATGTTTCGACATGTTCTGGCAGTTGTTTCTGTGTTATGTGTTAAAGGCTTTTTAACTTGGGTTAGGGTGGGGTCCTACCCGCACCCTGTGGTCGTCACCGACCACAGAGCGAGAGTTTCCCCCATTTCTGGGCGCCTTTCGACGCCTAGGCCCAAGCCTTGGTAACCCCAGCCCGGCACGGCAGCGGGTGCTCTAACGGGTCAAAATCTGGATCGCCCGGTGGCCCGCGCGTACCTAGAACAACGGAAACGTATTTCTTTAATACATATTCTATTTTCAGATCTCGTATTTTTTTACTCTATTTTAAAAATCCTGAGCTAATTTCATTTTTATCTAAATAATCTTATCAAATGAAGATAAACAATGCTCTTCGATACCAGAAATCTGGGTACGCACGTAGTAGATAGCTAATAATAAATAATTATCCAAAATAAAAACTAAAAATGTCTAAATATAAATTAATATAAAAACATCCACCTGATATATGAACTTGTTAAATAATGTAATCACTCAAAAAAATATCTTGTATTCTTACTGTTCTATCATTACCTTCGACAGAGAATAATCACTTAGAAAACCGATACTACAAAGAGACCTTGTTTCCAAATACAGGGTGATTCACAACTTATCCAAAAAAATTTGGGAATACATGCGGCACGAGAAATAGTCAATATCGTAAAAAAAAATTTTTGTAAAATCCTTATAGTTTCCGAGAAAAAAATTATTGAAGTTATAGTACATTCAACCACTACATAGCTGGACAACTGTAGTCTCTAGCGTCATTCGCAATACGCGTGGACTTTGTAATCGTCGTTGCGATAGTGTTTACCTGTTATCTATGGTGTTTACAATAGTTTTTTAGTAGTTAGTGTTAAACATGGTTTGTGTGTATAGCAATTCGGAGTTGATGGATATCGTTTTAATTTATGGTAAAGCAAGATAACATTTGTATTATGGTGAAGCATTTGTGTCATGGTGAAGCAAGACAACATTTGTGTTAATTTGTAGAAACTGAGTAATACGGACCCAAAGATGTTTACACGCTGGTGGATAAAATTTTGAACTATTGTTGTTGTAACATCGGGTAGGTATGTCAAATGATTTTATTATTTAAAAACACAAATTAATTTTATTAATTAATAATAACAATAAAGGCAAAAGCAGTTGAATTGGCCGATATAAAATAGGTGCTATAAAATTCTATTTATTTCTTTCTATGCAAAAGTTTTTGTCCGTTTTTATCACATCACCATGCCGGTCGCATTGTGCTAGGTCAGGTTTTACAGTGGACCAGTTTCCAGTGCCGTGCAGAAGTGTATTTTTAAATCATTTTCGAACTGCCCTTTTTGATTTTTTCTTTACAAAATTGTATTTGTAAAGGTCCCTTGTCCATCCAGTACACCCTGTATAGTATGGAATTAATAAATATTAACCAAACTAAATTATAGAGAGCGTCCCGATTATAAATACTTAAATAAAAAAACATATAACGTTTTTCTCAGTAACATTGCATTCCCAAGATACAGTTTATAAGTTGTTACATTCCTGTTTTTATAAAATATAAATGTATTTACTGTGTATAATATAATCGTTTTTTATATACAGGGTGTTCCACCTAAGAGGGATTCTTCTGTAACTCTGTAGTGTAAAATTTATAAAAAAAATGGTTTTAATAAAAGTTGTCTGGAATCATGTGTAAAGAAAATATTTTTAGCTTTACAGGGTGTTCCATTTCGCGTGGGTGCTACATAACTTTGTTATTTTAAATGTTTGTTTATGTTTGTAAATGTATTGTTGTTTTTTTTTAATATTTTTGTTATTTAAACTGTATATTATTGCGTTTTTGAATTCCTTGGTTAATATTAGGTAGAGTTTATTAAATATACATGGTGTTTAAAACTTACTATTTTCGAGATAATCACTTGTTTTTGAAAAGAATCACTATTTCAGTTCTCTAAATGAGGCTAAATAGCGTCTAAACTGTAAAAGCAAGAAACCTGCCGTTTTCACAGTTCGCTTTGGCATAAATTACTCTATCTTGTCATATGTTAGTAAAACGTGTATGTTATTAAGGCTCGGAAATACTGAGACCTACATTTAATAATCTTACGAGTTGAAAAATCAAAATGGAGGACACTTCGAGCAATTGATGTGAATCAACGAAATCAAAACGAAAACGTAACACTTTGCATAGATCCTTTGAAGAAAGGAGAACACGTTATAGTAACAAAAATAAGAATGATTTGTTGACATCGTTTTCTTTTGTTTAGAAAGTACAGTATTCTACAAGTTTTATTGCATTCTCATTCTTCTAGGCTGTTATCTCATCTCTCAGCACAAAAAGTAGATGGATAGATAGGTGCATGTATGGATTTTATAGGTGGTACAGGTGAATGAATAAATATGCGTATTCATGCATGAACGACTGGATAGAAAGATGTATGAATTCATAAATGTGTGAGTGGATAAAAAGATGGATCCAGAACTCTGCAATACGAATTATGCCATGAAAACGGCGGTTTTTTATTAATTTTTTTTTTTTAATCTATTTATTTTATATTTATTTATCTATTTATTTTTTATTTTGATCTATTTTCTGTTTTTGAATGAAATCGGACCAGCTTGCCTGACTCTATGATGATAAATTGGAATTAAATGAGTGAAAAATCATAGGTCTAGTGAACTGGTAGAATAATTTGGCTTTTTATAACTTTCGTCGATCGTAAATGACGTTTTTTATGAATTTTGACCTGTTTTTTGAATTTTCCCGAAAACTCAGACCCGTTGGGCCAAATCTGAAGGAAGATTCGGATTCAGCGGAAAAAATACATGGAATTACAAGGGTCTGAATACCAGATCCGACACTTTTTTTGTGGGGCTTTGTTATTTATTACTAGCAGTGTTGGACAAAATTACATTGTTGGAAAATTAATTAATTGTTAATCATGTCTATTGCAATTAACAATTAATTAATTGTTAGTCGGGAGTTTCCACAATTACTGATTAATCAATTGTCAGTCTTTTTAATTATTTGATTAAAAACTAAGAATTAAAATTTATAATTTATTGTATTTATAAAAGGCATGGCGACGCCAATGTATGTTATAAATAAAACATGTAGGTATGTGACAAATAACAGGCTGCTGTTTTTCTTTTTATCAATTTTAATTAAACTTAATGGCAAATTTGATGATAAGTTTAATTATGACAATAATTTCTTAATTTAAGTTTAATTTTTTGAATAATTTGTTAATTTAAGTTATTTTTGACAGTAACTTATCAATTTAAATTTAATAATGACAATCACATTTTAGTAATCTTTTCTATATAAATATTTCTATACGAAATACGTTCACATAAAATTAAAGTGACTGTATCGAAGCAGAATAATTGTTAGTTTTAATTGTTTTTTAGAACAATTGGAAAAGTTTATTGTAATTATTTAGTTGCATTAATATAGATTAATCCAAATAAATTAATTACAACGCGCAATTAATAGTTCAATTGCAATTAATTTTAACTGCAATTAAATTAATCACAATTACCTTTTAATCAATTAATTAAGTGATTGAAAATTTAATTAATAAATTCCCAACACTGATTCTAGCCCTTTACTAGATGTTGTTGGTGTCATTCAGTGGTAGTTGGGGCAAATGAGTTTATTTAAATAAACTGAAGAGTCTTCGGCCATTATAACTAGTCATAATAATACTTTAAAATTATGAATTTCGTAAAAAAAGTTTTTACTTGATGGAAACGACGAGCCTCTAATAAAAACTATTCAGGTTAAAAATTACATAAGAAATATAATTTTACCAGAGGATTAAAAATTGTAAAATTGATATAAAATTGAAACTTTTTTCTTTAACATTATTGTAAAAGAGAAAATTTCGAAAAAAAAATTGCGAAATAAAAAATTGAATTAGATGTGGCCGACCTTGAAATCTCGAAATGGCTTGCACATATATTTGCAAACTTTTTTTTTTCATTCAGTTGATATACACAATAACCGTTTTTTATTTTTCCCAAAATTTTTGGTTCTCATAACGTCACAGCATTATGAAGTTTGGAAAATTGAATGTTAGCATAAAAACAAAATTTAAATAGGTACAATATTGTCAAAATTGAAAAAACTGTTCTTAAAAAAATATGTTCTGTGTTTCTTAAAAAGAAATTTAGTAAAAAGGGCAAATATTGCTTAGGTAAAAAAATAATTCACATTAATCTACTTTTAACATTGTCCTTTCATAATTTAGTTTTTTCTAAAAGTGTTGTGTTTTTTGTTTATAACTTTGTCTATCAGTATTTTATTAATTCCATATGTAGGGAGACTACTTGATTAAACAATCATAAGTAAAATGTGGAAACAAAATGATCTCTTAGCTGTTTTTCAAGTGCTCATATTTGGCAAGGGTGATAATCAAGAATACAGGATATGTTTTTGAATGATTACATTATTTAACAACTTCTACAGGGTGTCTTAATGATATGCGAATATTTAAGGGTGTGATTCTACATGGAAAATTAATGATAGTTTGCTTTATAATCTATGGGTCAAATATGTTCCGTTGCGAAAATACGGAGTGTTAAAATTTTAGGAAAAAGAAGGAAATTAATTTCTTCGAAATCGCTTGAGATATTTCAGTGATATTTAGTACGTAGTGACAGTTAATAAAGGCACATATTTTTCAATACAAACATAACTTTCAGCTCTAACAGTGGCGTGCGTACGAGCACTGACTTTGATATTTTTTAAAGAAAAAAATTGTACGCCAATGATTCTTTCCCAAATAAAATTATTTTTGAAATCCCCATTCAATTCGAAAGATAAGAGCTCCCGTGGGTTTTTGTCGTGTGATGCGCCTTTTTTGACTAAAAAAATAAAACTCGTATTGTCCGCAATTAATGTAATTATTCAGGAATACAATTTTGTTATAAACCTAGTTGGCCTGGAGCGAATGCGTCATTTGCATTTCTGACATTTTGAAGTAACTCAAGCGGTTCCGAAAATATTAATTAATATTAAAATATTAATTTCCCTCTTTTTCCTAAAATTTTAACATACTGAAAAATGCTGAAAGAACGCTAAAAGCTATAAAATATATTTTATACAAGATTGTGCAGACAATAACGGAAATTAATAACTACAGTTTAGAACAAATTTAAGTTAATATTTCTAGAAAAATTGGGTTTTCCAGAAATTATTCACTATAACTCATGCATATTAGTACAAGCATTTTAGAGAAGTACCACTTACAGAAATTATTACCTGGATAAAGAAATAGGAAATTATGGAGAGTATTAAATGGAGTTTCTTGTTCCTAAAACTCGATCCAAAATGGTCTAAAAAATTCGCAAAGTTGCAAAAAACGTTTTTCTAAATTAACTAAAAAGCTATAGCTCTCATCGAAAAATTTTAAATTAGAAAGTTGTAGGTTTTAAAAAGACCTATCCACTGATTTTCGGTAAGTATCGATTGCTTTGTTACTTTTCGAGATAAATCGAAAAAACCGTTAAAAATCGTCTCTTTTTTTTGTTCTTCTTTAAGTTCCCTTACTTGCTACTTACAGTAAGTATAGTCTGCGGTAAGCCATAAAAGTACGTTTTTAATAAATTTAAAAATATTAATTATTTTTCCAGATATATCGATTTTTTGAAAAAAATGCGTTCTCGAAAATTGGCTAGATCTTCTAAGCGGATGACCCTACAGTAACGATTTTCAGTTTATCTTCTTCGTAAAGAGTTATTTCACTATGCTGCTAAAAAATTTTGACCATTTTATTAATTTTAAGGATCAAAAAATGATTGAAATATCGCCCTCTTTTGGGTACGTTTTTATTTTCAAATAACTATTTCAATTTTTACTTTATGACAACGACTTTTATAAAAAAAAAAAATGCTGATATATCTTCACGAATTAAAAAAAATTCTTTGTTGAGTACTTATATTTTCAAGAAACAAAAATAATAGAATATATTGTTTCACTGATTTTTAGTATTAGTAATTGTAGTAATTAATAATTAACAAAAAAAATAAGGTATTGCACGAAAAATACTGTTGTAACAATAAATAATTATTAAAATGACCATAAAAGTAAAAAAAATATATAAAATGAATAAAAATTAAATATTTCCGGGACTATTTTGCTTCTAAGGTGAAAATTACTATATTATTCGTATTTATCTCGTCAAGCTATCTCAGATTAAGTACAAAAGGGTTTTTGTATGTGATCCAGACGTCGAAATATCAAAAATTTTGTAATCGCGAGCCATTTAGATTGGACGTCATTAATTTCCAAAGCGAGCCTGTACCCTTCACTTTATTACTCAATTACTAATACAAAAATTAGTTAAACATATCCTATTATTTTTTTCTTGAAAATATAAGTATTTAATATAAACCTCTCTCAAGCGAATCGCTGTAAAATGTTAATTGCTTCTTCCGGCTCTAGTAGGTCATAGAAAAACATTTTCAATTTAAATTCGTGAAAATTTCTCTGTATAAAAATCGTTGTCATAAAGCAAAAATTTAAAGTTATTTGAAAAAAACATACCCATAAAGAGGGCAATATTTTGATCCCTAAAATTAATAAAATCGTCCAAATTTTTTAATAGCATGGTAACACAACTCTTTACGAAGAATATAGACTAAAAATAGTTTCTGTATGGTCATACGCCGAAAAGATCTAGCCAATTTCCGAGAGCGCCTTTTTTTAAAGAAATCCATACCTATATCTCGAAAAATAATTAATATTTTTTAATTTTTCAAAAATGAGTTTTTTTGGCTTGTCGCGGGCTATACTTACAATAAATAGCAAGTACAGGAACGTAAAAGTAAATGAGTTATAGAAAAAGAAAGATAAGAAGATTTTTTACAGTTTTTTCAATGTATCTCGAAAAGTAACAAAGCAATCGATACGTATAAAAAGTCAGTCGATAGATCTTTTTAGAGCCTACAACTTTCTCATTTAAAATTTTTCGATCGGAGCTATAGTTTTCTAGTTATTTAATAATAATAATAATATTTTTTTTGTCCAGGTAATAATTTCTGCAAATTTAACATTAGGCCGTCACAGAATGCCTGAACTATATCGATCGGTTCCTCAAATGGAAAAAAAATAGAGAGCACTTACCAGCATGGAATTTGAATAAAAGGAAACAAAGTAGCAATCTGAAATAAAAATTATATATTTAGATTAAAATTGCAATTGTTTTTGGTAATTTAATATGGATTGAAAAAATTGAGCGAGGTATATTTGCGAGAAAAAATCCAGAAAAAACAAATAACTCGCGTAAAATGCCTTTAAAATAACCTTTTGATTTTTCAATGTTCAATTCTTTTATTATTATTACTTATATGAGACGAAATTGAACCATTGCTTACCTTATAACCATTGCACTGTTGATAAAAAAAAAGAATTGTCGTTCTGGAGCCACGTCGCGTTGAAGAGGCTCCAGAAAGAGAACTGGCCCTCAGGCGTCAAGTCTTAGTCAAAAAACTCCACAGCTTCAACATGCAATCACGTGACGAAAAGCGTATGTGAGTCAGGCTTTGATTGACGAATCAAAGCGAACGAATTGGCGAATTATTTTTAAATGAACTGTTAATTGTTCCCTGCAAGATGTGACTCATTGTTGTCCTCTTCTATCGCTACGATATGCAGCAAATTCGAAATAACTGAAATTGTTTTAATTTCTGTGTATTTCGAATCACTGGCGCATTCGCCTTAATTTTTAAATCGAGGGTGTTGTTCTCAATCATATACGATTTAAGCAAATTTCAAATAACATTTTTTGTTTTAAAGCGGTTGTGAATAAGTAATCTTCACGCTGCCAACGATTGTAGTTCACCACTCGAGGTTCTGAAAACGTATAAAGTGCCCTAATAAAACTTAGTACAATCAATTTTATAATAATAAAACCTCTATATTCGTCTTAATACTTCATAAGAAAGATAAAGCAACAATATTTATTGGGGGGATAGTTTATCCCCTAAGCTTCCCATCCATACTTTCAAATTGGCTGAATTGCATACAGGGTGACAGAAATTTAATGCCGAGTTTAGTTTACTTCAAACCTTCATAAGTCGGTTTTTTAAATGGAACACCCTGTCTGTTTTTCTATATTCTGATACCCAATTTTATTCTTTGTCGAACGGTATCAGGGTTCCCTATACCTATCTCTTCTAGTTTTTAAGTTATCTACTAGTTTTTGTATCATCACCTTGCGAGGATAGCTGTGGAATTTTTAGCAAAACTTCAAAACAACTAAACTATCACCAATTATTTATTATTATGGGAATCTAAGCAAAACATTAACAGTTTTAATGAGACATGTCCCAATTTTCCACCAATAAAGTTAAGAAGAATTCTAAAAAATCAACTTCACACATAGTAATACACAATTTTAATTATGTATGTTCATAATAATAATGCACTAAGATAAAATATGACTTAAAAAAGTCATAAGTGTTCAATATGACCCCCATTAACAGCCAAGCACTTGTGGATTCTAGAGATAACACCATCAGTCACCGCTTTTGCTATTTCAGCTGCAGGCAATTCTTCGTAAACGAACAATCAAATCCTCTTTTGAAGCAACGGGTGTAGAATAAACTTTTTGCTTTATTACTCCCCAAACATAAAAATCTAATGGGGTGCGGTCGGGAGACCTCACTGGCCAATTCCACTGTCCTAGGCGTTCATCTATCTTCAAACATTTCAGTCATCTGTTGATCGATTTGATTGTGACAGTGCGGTGGAGCCCCGTCTAATTGATACCAACGCTTCCTTAGTTGGTCTAAAGGTATATCATCTAGAAAATCTGCCACAACCGTTTGCAAAATATTGAGATATCTGTCGGCATTTAAGATATGGTAAGAAATTTAATTATCTTTAATTAGACAAAAAACATTTACGCTAAATTTATTTTGAAAGTTTCTTTCCCGGATAACATGAGGATTTTCAGATGACCACAAATGAGTATTATGTCTATTAAAAATACCTTCTCCCGTAAATTTTGACTCGTCTGTCCGTATAATATGTTGCAAAAATTGTGGATCTTCTTGGTATCGCACTAACATCGTTTCACAAAATTGTACACGTTGCACGGCGTTACCCGGATGAAGAGCAGAAAGTAGCTTAAATTTGTATGGATGCATATCATTAGTTCTTATCATCCTGTGAGTGGACGCTCGTTAAATGTATAAATCATACTCTGCGGCACGAGTTGAGGATTCTGGATGAACATAAAATAGGCTAGCATATTTATTACATTATCTTCATTTCAAGTTATTGGTTTTGGTAAAATTCCTTCTGCACAAATTCGACCATACTCTGGTTGATTTGCTAAAATTCTTCTTAACTTTTTTCTGCTCATTGGTGGCAAATTTGGATATGTCTCATTAAAAACTGTACATATTCTGCTTATAATCCCATTGCAATGTCCGTGAATGAATAATAAATTTAATATATCAGCATTTGAATTATGTATTGTTTTCCATTTCTTATAAACACCAAATTAAACTGTCACTGCCAGAAACTAACAACAAATTGACAGTTTAGTTGTTTGTTTTGAAGTTTTGCTAAAAATTCCACAGCTATCCTCGCAAGAAATTACATGATTTTAGGTGATTACACAAAAAATAATAGATAAAAACTATAGAAGAGATGGGTATAGGGAACCTTGATACCGTTCGAAAGAGAATAAAATTGTGTATCAGAATATAGAAAAACATACAGGTTGTTCCAATAAAAAAAACGACTTATGAAGGTTTGAAGTTAACAAAACTCGGCATTACATTTCTAGCACCCTGTATGCAATTAAGCCACTTTGAAAGTATGGATGGGAAGCTTAGGGGTCTAGCTATCACCCCTATAAATATTGTTGCTTTATCTTTCTTACTATAAAATACACATGGTTTGAAGGTAGTCACTGTTTCTCTCCATTTTTTTGAAAAAAATTAAATATCTCGAAAACGGTTAATTTTAGGAATAGAAAAACTTCATAAAAGTCCACCTAAAATAACACGTAGAATCCAAAATTGCAATAGTAGATATAATAGGCCGGTTCTGGACCAGGAAGTGACGTGGCAAGGTCACATGAGGTCAAGGTCACCCCAAGGTCACCAGGGGTCAAGGTCACCTGAGGTCAAGGTCACCCCAAGGTCACATGGGGTCAAGGTCGTGTCAAGGTCACCTGGGGTCAAGGTCACCTGGGGTCAAGGTCACCACATAGTCAGTGTTTATCGAGTTCGGCGCGCACCTTCAGCGGCTTCTTGTGGGCATTGTCGTTGTGCAAGAGATGAGTGGGTGTTGGCATGCAAGAAGTATCATGGCGACATGGAAGTGACGTCATACAAGAAGTGTCATGGCGGCATGGAA